TTGTTTCAGTAACTGGTTATCGTTGGTTCAGTAAATGGTTACCGTTGTTTCAGTAACTGGTTACCGTTGTTTCAGTCACTGGTTACCATTGGTTCAGTAACTGGTTACCGTTGGTTCAGTATCCGGTTACCGTTGTTTCAGTAACTGGTTAACGTTGGTTCAGTAACTGGTTACCGTTGCTTCAGTAACTGGTTACCGTTGCTTCGGGTAACTGGTTCCCGGGTTGTTTCAGTAACTGGTTACCTTTTGTTTCAGTAACTGGTTACCGTTGTTTCAGTAACTGGTTACCGTTGTTTCAGTAACTGGTTACCGTTGTTTCAGTAACTGGTTACCGTTGTTTCAGTAACTGGTTACCGTTGGTTCAGTAACTGGTTACCGTTGGTTCAGTAACTGGTTACCGTTGTTTCAGTAACTGGTTATCGTTGTTTCAGTAACTGGTTACTGTTGGTTCAGTAAATGGTTACCGTTGGTTCAAAACTGGTTACCGTTGGTTTTCGTAACTGGTTACCGTTGTTTCGTCACTGGTTACCGTTGGTTCAGTAACTGGTTACCGTTTTTTTCAGTAACTTGGTTACCGTTGTTTCAGTAACTGTTACCTTTGTTTCAGGTAACTGGTTACGTTGTTTCAGTAACTGGTTACCGTTGGTTCAGTAAATGGTTACCGTTGGTTCAGTAACTGGTTACCGTTGGTTCAGTAAATGGTTACCGTTGGTTCAGTCACTGGTTACCGTTGTTTCAGTCACTGGTTACCGTTGGTTCAGTAACTGGTTACCGTTGGTTCAGTAACTGGTTACCGTTGGTTCAGTAACTGGTTACCGTTGGTTCAGTAACTGGTTACTATTGGTTCAGTAACCGGTTACCGTTGTTTCAGTAACCGGTTACCGTTGTTTCAGTAACTGGTTACCGTTGGTTCAGTAACTGGTTACCGTTGTTTCAGTTACTGGTTACCTTTTGTTTCATAACTGGTTCCCCGGGTTTTTTTCAGTAACTGGTTATCGTTGTTTCAGTAACTGGTTACCGTTGGTTCAGTAACTGGTTACCGTTGGTTCAGTAACTGGTTACCGTTGTTTCAGTCACTGGTTACCGTTGGTTCAGTAACTGGTTACCGTTGGTTCAGTAACTGGTTACCGTTGGTTCAGTAACTGGTTACCATTGGTTCAGTAACTGGTTACCGTTGTTTCAGTAACTGGTTACTATTGGTTCAGTAACCGGTTACCGTTGTTTCAGTAACTGGTTACCGTTGTTTCAGTAACTGGTTACCGTTGTTTCAGTCACTGGTTACCGTTGTTTCAGTAACTGGTTACCGTTGTTTCAGTAACTGGTTATCGTTGTTTCAGTAACTGGTTACCGTTGGTTCAGTAAATGGTTACCGTTGGTTCAGTAACTGGTTACCGTTGTTTCAGTCACTGGTTACCGTTGGTTCAGTAACTGGTTACTGTTGGTTCAGTAACTGGTTACCGTTGGTTCAGTAACTGGTTACCGTTGGTTCAGTAACTGGTTACCGTTGTTTCAGTAACTGGTTACTATTGGTTCAGTAACCGGTTACCGTTGTTTCAGTAACTGGTTACCGTTGTTTCAGTAACTGGTTACCATTGTTTCAGTAACTGGTTACTATTGGTTAAGTAACACTGTACCATTGGTTGGTAACTGACTACCGTTAGTTCAAGCGGCTCTTGCCAGTAGGTTTAAAGCCCAATAATAATTATAATAATAATAATAATAATAAAAATAATTCTTAATAAGCTTGTTTTCCATTATTTTATTATTATTATAATTATTATTATTATTATTATTATTATTATTATTATTATTATTATTATTATTATCGTATTAAGGTTGAGTTGCTAAGTCGTTTTTGGGCCATACAGCGCCCAGGAGTTTATCCAGGGTGTCAGGCCAGGGGTGAGGAACACCTGGCCCGCGGGGCCACATCCGGCCCAACCCTCCACAGTAATTCTATCCGGCCCACCCGCTGTCTCCAGCGATTTTCCGATCATTTAACATTGTCTCCCCTTCCAGCCAGAAACTTTTGTGATTAACGTGGATGATGATTGATGATAATGATGATTGCTACAGCACTGTTGTTTGCTGCAACACTGTTGTTTGCTACAACACTGTTGTTTGCTACAACACTGTTGTTTGCTACAACACTGTTTGCTACTACACTGTTGTTTGCTACAACACTGTTGTTTGCTACAACACTGTTGTTTGCTACTACACTGTTGTTTGCTACAACACTTGTTTGCTACAACACTGTTGTTTGCTACAACACTTGTTTGCTACAACACTGTTGTTTGCTACTACACTGTTGTTTGCTACAACACTTGTTTGCTACAACACTGTTGTTTGCTACAACACTTGTTTGCTACTACACTGTTGTTTGCTACAACTCTGTTGTTTGCTACAACACTGTTGTTTGCTACAGTACTGTTGTTTGCTACAACACTGTTTGCTACTACACTGTTGTTTGCTACAACACTGTTTGCTACAACACTGTTTGGTACAACACTGTTGTTTGCTACAACACTGTTGTTTGCTACTACACTGTTTGCTACAGTACTGTTGCTTGTCACAACACTGTTGTTTGCTACAACACTGTTGTTTGCTACTACACTGTTGTTTGCTACAACACTGTTGTTTGCTACAACACTGTTGTTTGCTACAGTACTGTTGTTTGCTACAACACTGTTTGCTACAGTACTGTTGCTTGTCACAACACTGTTGTTTGCTACAGTACTGTTGCTTGTCACAACACTGTTGTTTGCTACAGTACTGTTGCTTGTCACAACACTGTTGTTTGCTACAGTACTGTTGCTTGTCACAACACTGTTGTTTGCTACAACACTGTTGTTTGCTATAACACTGTTGCTATAACACTGTTCTTTGCTACAGTACTGTTGCTTGTCACAACACTGTTGTTTGCTACAGCACTGCTGTTTGCTACAACACTGTTTGCTACAACACTGTTGTTTGCTATAACACTGTTGTTTGGTACAGTACTGTTGCTTGTCACAACACTGTTGTTTGCTACAGCACTGCTGTTTGCTACAGCACTGTTGTTTGCTACAACACTGCTACAACACTGTTGTTTGCTACATCACTGTTGTTTGCTACATCACTGTTGTTTGCTACAGCACTGTTGTTTGCTACAACACTGCTGTTTGCTACAGCACTGCTGTTTGCTACAACACTTGTTTGCTACAACACTGCTACAACACTGCTACAACACTGTTGTTTGCTACAACACTGTTGTTTGCTACATCACTGTTGTTTGCTACAACACTGTTGTTTGCTACAACACTGTTGTTTGCTACAACACTGTTGTTTGCTACATCATTGTTTGCTACATCACTGTTTGCTACAACACTGTTGTTTGGTACATCACTGTTGTTTGCTACAATGTTGTTTGCTACAACACTGTTGTTTGCTACAGCACTGTTGTTTGCTACAACACTGTTGTTTGCTACAGCACTGCTGTTTGCTACAACACTTGTTTGCTACAACACTGTTGTTTGCTACAGCACTGTTGTTTGCTACAACACTGTTGTTTGCTACATCACTGTTGTTTGCTACAACACTGTTGTTTGCTACAGCACTGTTTGCTACAACACTGTTGTTTGCTACAACACTGTTGTTTGCTACAACACTGCTACAACACTGGTGTTTGCTACAACACTGCTACAACACTGGTGTTTGCTACAACACTGTTGTTTGCTACAGCACTGTTTGCTACAGCACTGCTGTTTGCTACAACACTGTTTGTTTGCTACAACACTTTTTGTTGCAAACAACACTGTTTGTTTGCAAACAACAATTTTTTGCTACAACACTGTTGTTTGCTACAACACTGTTGTTTGCTACAACACTGTTGTTTGCTACAGCACTGCTGTTTGCTACAACACTGTTGTTTGCTACAACACTGTTGTTTGCTACAGCACTGTTGTTTGCTACAACCACTGTTGTTTGCTACAGCACTGTTTGCTACAACACTGTTGTTTGCTACAACACTGCTACAACACTGTTGTTTGCTACAACACTGTTGTTTGCTACAACACTGTTGTTTGCTACAGCACTCTGTTTATACTCTAACACTGATTTTTGCTACAACACTGCTACAACACTGTTGTTTGCTACAGCACTGCTGTTTGCTACAACACTGTTGTTTGCTACAACACTGTTGTTTGCTACAGCACTGCTGTTTACTACAACACTGTTGTTTGCTACAACACTGCTACAACACTGTTGTTTGCTACAGCACTGCTGTTTGCTACAACACTATTGTTTGCTACAGCACTGCTGTTTGCTACAACACTGCTACAACACTGTTGTTGCTACAACACCGCTACAGCACTGATGTTTGCTACAGCACTGTTGTTTGCTACAACACTGTTTGCTACAACACTGTTGTGTAAGAAAGTCAATAAGGTTGAATAATAAAACTCTACGGTTTTGGAACTACATTTTGGGATAATTGGTAAATTATACATAAGGGATATGTGCGTGTGTGTGTGTGTTTGTTGTCTTTCATAAAAGACACTTGCCGATAGACACGTGGCTAGTTTTGTGTTTGTGTGTGTGTAAGAGCATTCGAGACTCTGGTGCCGACTGCTTCTTCAAGACGGGTGCCGGCTGCTCCTTGAAGACTCTGGTGCCGGCTGCTCCTTCAACCTCTCCCGCACATCTCTAAGCCGACCTGCAACACAGTGAACCTCGTTATAGCGGACACACCCACTACCATCACACAGTACTGCTGGTACTCTGCCCTCTTGGTTTATCTATATTCTCTCATAATATACAAAAACTTACTCTTGTGAACAAACTACAATATTGACATTTATATGGAATTAAAATATCGATGATTTATCATAATATTTCATAATTTCTTTTACTAAGATTAGAATAATTGTAGTTAAGAGTTAATGCTGATTAAAAATATAAACAGCGACTCTCTCTCTCTCTCTCTCTCTCTCTCTCTCTCTCTCTCTCTTTCCTTCGGCTTCTTACTTCCTGTAGCAGGCTAGGATCCTCCTGCGGGTGACTGGCTTCAGGAGTTGCAGGTCCTCCTCCCTCAGGTAGGTCATGTCAGCCACACTATGCACTCCTATAGCCTTCAGGAAGCCAGCGATGTGCGTGAGACCGTACCAGGTGAGCCAGCCCTCCAGGGAGCAGTCGGCAGGAGGCGCTGACGAGGGCGGCACCGGAGGCACAGTCAGATTAGAGGAAGAAGGAGGCGAAGAAGAGGAGGAAGAGGTTTTTAGAGTTTGGGAACACTGAAGTGGGGGGAAGTGTATGGACTGGGAGACGCAGGAGTCCGAAGGTTTTAGTCTGTAGGGGGAGGGAGTGGGCGATAGTTTGTGGGAGAAGAGAGAGGGGGGAAGAAGTGGGGTTATGATGATGTGGGGAGGGGTGGTTGAGACGGGGAGGGTTGGGAGAGAGGGAATGGAGTGGCTTAGAGATTTGGGGGGGGGGTCAAGGGAGATGGTGATGAGTGGGGAGAGGGAATGAGTGGGGAAAGGGGATAAATGGGGAGCAGAGGGTTCAAATAAATCATTGTTTACTGCAAACCCTGAGGACTACTGACGGATCTTTATTCTTAGTACAGACGATCAGATCACTTATCATAGGATCAGATCCCTCGTCACATAGGATCAGATCCCTCATAACATAGGATCAGATCCCTCGTTGCATAGGATCAGATCCCTCATAACATAGGATCAGATCCCTCGTCACATAGGATCAGATCCCTCGTTGCATAGGATCAGATCCCTCCTCACATAGGAATCAGATCCTCCTCACATAGGATCAGATCCCTCCTCACATAGGATCAAATCCCTCATGACGTAGGATCAGATCCCTTATCACATAGGATCAGATTCCTCGTCACAGGATCAGATCCCTTATTATATAGGATCAGATCCCTTATCCCATAGGATTAGATCCCTTCTCACATAGGATCAGATCCCTTATCGCATAGGATCAGATCCCTTATCACATAGGATCAGATCCCTTATCACATAGGATCAGATCCCTTATCACATAGGATCAGATCCCTTGTCATATAGGATCAGATCCCTTATCACATAGGGTCAGATCCCGTCACAGGGGATTAGATCACTTATCACATAGGATCAGCTGAGGGGATCAGATCTTCCATTCCTCGTAAGAAACAAGATCAAAATCAACTAGGCCGTCATATTTAAAGGAGGTTTTTAGGGCGGCTTTGAACGACTCATGCGGGTTTACCGTTCTTTTTTTAAATATAAAAATTACGTGTTTTAAACTGCGAGAATTTTTTCCCCAGTGAATATATGCAAATTCAATAATAATAATAATAATAATAATAATAATAATAATAATAATAATAATAATAATCACTGTCGTCTACAATTAACATGATCTTATTTTCTGCTGCTCCTAGCACCTCACCTGTTATTGTGCCTAGCACCTCACCTGCTGCTGCACCTAGCACCTCACCTGCTGCTCCACCTGGCACCTCACCGGCTGCTGCACCTAGCACCTCACCTGCTGCTCCACCTAGCACCTCACCTGCTGCTCCACCTGGCACCTCACCGGCTGCTGAACCTAGCACTTCACCTGTTGCTGCACCTGGCACCTCACCTGCTGCTCCACCTGGCACCTCACCGGCTGCTGCACCTAGCACTTCACCTGTTGCTGCACCTGGCACCTCACCTGCTGCTCCACCTAGCACCTTACCTGCTACTGCACCTAGCACCTCACCTGCTGCTACACCTAACACTTCATCTGCTGCTGCATCTAGTATCTCACTTGCTGCTCCACATAGCGCCTCACCTAGCATCTCACCTGCTGCTGCACCTAGCACCTCACCTTCATGGTGAAGGTTGAAAGAGTCAAGCTCCTGTAGGAGGCGCCGACGGGAGATGAGCTGAATAGCTTCAAGTTCAGGCTTCTCCAAGAGGCGCAGGTCCCTCACACAGGTACAGCCCAGCACCCTCAGGTAGTCTGCTAGGTGTGACAGGTGCAACTTCTCCAGGAACTCTGAGGGGGACATGAGGAAGCTGTCAGCTTCATTTGTTTTTTGTTGACGTGAGCGGATTAAACTGTCTTACAAGAACGGATCAGACAGCTCGTGTTTGCAAGAAAGGAGCAGATTCATTTACGTTTAAAAGGACAGATCACATGGCCTTTGTTTATGAGAACGGATCCAATCCTATTGATTTACACAAGCGGATTTACGAGAACGGCTCAGATCATCCGTATCTACAGGAACAGAAACATAACCATTCAGCTCTCCGTCTACCCCTTCGAGCTCACCGTCAAGGCACTCAGTGATGGGAAGCTCCTTGTGGTGGACCTGTTTCTCCACTTCAAAGCTTTCCCTTGTGTCACATCCTTGATTTTCCTCACACTCGCCGTTGTGACATCCTTCCTGGTATTCACCTTCCATCTTCTTGGTGCTGTGGTAGCGTGTGTTAAGCTTGGTGTTGCTTTTAGCACTCTGTGCACGCACCCAGTCCCTGTGGCAACAGCACGGGTCAGAGACCTGCTTGGGCCCCTGCTCGCTGAAGCTCTGGTTTGTCTCAACACAGCAGGAATTTCCTAGATTGGTGGGTTCCTTCCTGACGAAGTCGTACTGTGTGTGGGACTGCTCGTTGGCCTCTACTACCTCTTTTTCTTTCTTAACTGGATCACTTTCTTCAGGGAGAGTCGAGTCACTCTGCTGAATCACACACAAAGCCTCGTTAGTATTGTTGTAATTTTCTTGCTGAGTGGTGTTAAACTCAGTTGTCTTCCAGTCACCTGAAGAATCGTCGTCGAGGATTGAGAGTGCCTCTTGCAGCTCAGAATCTTGGAAACTCTCAATCAATTCGGTTTTCTTGATATCATCCGGAATTTCTGGCTCTCAGTCTCAGATTCCTTCAGATTTTCCTTTTCTGGCAGAGGCCTGATTGTTGCGACTGGGCGAACCTTTCCCGCGAGGTTACCCTGTGGGAGAAGAAAAGAAGTTCGCTGTTAGGTTCTAACCTGCGAACTCCGACAAGAGAGCAGAAACTGTCTCGACCCGTCCAGAGCTCCGGGTCAGAGTTTGTAAAGATAACAAGTAGACAATGTAGCTTAAATGTTCTTATCACGTTAATGAAAAACACGAAGAGGGACACTCAAAAGGATGTGAATAAACTGTTTACAAAATCGACACGTTGTTAAATGAGACATTTTTGTAACATTTGGGTATGTTTAGTTTGGAAACGCCACACTGGCTTCTTCAGTCCAATGCAGAAAAAGGTGGAATAAGAGGAGTTTCAAGCAATCAGTCTCTCAGCCTTGACAAAGATTGATGGAATGTGGAGGTGCAAGACAAGACTCACCTGGCCGAAGAAGATGCGAGAGTTGTCCCTGGGTTCTGGTGGCTGGATTTGGGGTCGAACTCGCGTTTCGAAGGTCACGTCGAACTCAAGAGTCCCTTCGATCACCACTTCGATCACTGCAACAGAGAAGTAACACTGCACCACTAAGGCAGTTGTTCGAACCACGGTATTGGGATTTTTTTTTTTTTTGCTCTTTCTTAAGCACAAAGTGTTCAGTAACACGACACACACCAACACACACCCACAACCAACACACAAAAAAAACCACACACACACACAACACACACACACGTTTTGAACGAAAACAATGAACACAATGGTTTCTTAAGAGAAAACCATTACCTCTCATTTTCCAATCTGTTTTACACTAAACAAGTTTAATATTAAAACACTGTACAGTTCTTGGCGGCAGACTGATGACAACAACAAGAAAACTGTATTTGTGTGTGAGGAAGAGTCACATGTAGCTGGACTTTTGCGAGGAAGACGAGTACTTTCCCGAAGTAAACAGACCTACCTGAAGGAAGAAAATCCTTTTGAAGGACTAGTAGAAGGACTTTCTGAAGAGGAGAAGAAGAACAACCTTCCTGGGGATAAGGAAATAGAATAAAACGTACCTGAAGGTAAGGATGACCAGTCTTTAAAAAACAGGATGCAGGAGGAGGAGGAGGAGGAACTATCTGAAGAAGGATGTACAAGCTAAAGGAAATCTTCCTCACGAAGGAAGATTTGCTATCAGATCAACCTGGTCGTCGAAGGATCTGCTTGTACATGAATGAAATACAGTCTAACGTCTAGGTATCTTTATTTTAGAGCCAGATGCTGCACATGTGTCTGAGGATCTAGGTGAAACAACGACCTATGTAAGAAATGAACGACCTGCGTAAGAGAGGAACGACTTACGTAAGAGAGGAACGACCTGTGTGATAGAGGAACGACTTATGTAAGTGAGGAACGATCTACGTAAAAGAGGAACGACCTAGCATAAGAATGACCTACGTAGGATAGGAACGACCTTAGTAAGAAAGGAACGAACTACGTAAGAGACGAACGACCTGCGTAAGAGAGAGGAACGACCTTCGTAAGAAAGGAACGACCTACGCAAGAAATGAAAACTCACATGAGGGAAAAAACGACGACACTCCGCCTACGACGACAGGAGGACGTGTTCCCGAGAGTGTGGCCAAGTGAAGACTTACCTGACGAAGGTGATAGCGTGGAGGTGCGGTGATCCATGTCCCACCTCCAGCCTGCATCTTATATATCTGTGATGTGTCTGGCTGAGTGGGAGACTGCAGCCTCCTCAGAGACCCCTCGCCGAGGTGACAGGGGTGAAGGGGAGGGGGTGGAGACAGCGGGGGAAGAGGGGGAGAGGGCATACATGAGGGGAAAATTGGAGGGTAGGTGGCAGGAGGAAGGGTGGTATTAGTGGGGGGAAGTGGGTAGGAGAGACAAGTTAGGAAGAGGAAGAGGGAGTTAATGGGAGGGGGAGGGAGGGGGAGGTGGTAGTTCCTGGCGCCATCCACCTGTCACACACTCATAACCAAGACAGTGCTGTGCAACAGGGGTTAATAAGGTCGTAAAGAGGGGTCGTTAAACTACCTGCTTCGACCATGTGGGCGAGAGGACGTCAGAGCATATTTCCCCTCATTCTGTTATTTGACGACCAGTGTTAATCTCGCCTCCTCCTCTTCTATCTCCCATTGAACCCTAGATTTACCGTCTCCCCATTAACACCTTGCTCCTCTTACCTGTCCTGCTTCCCCTTTATATGTGATGCTGTCTCCATTACCTGTGCTGTGTTACTTTCCCATTACCTGTGCTGGCTGCTGTCATTACCTGTGCTGGTATACTGTCTTAACCGGCACAATGCCTTCCCCTCACCTCTCCTCAACTTCCCTCACCTCTCCTCACCTTCACTCACGTCCTTCCCCTCGTCAACCTGACATAGCAACCGGAAGTTCGTGCCAAATCGCTTGTGACAGCCATGCACTTATATTCTGGTCTACCGTGACCAAAATACCCCGAGCAGTGTATGTGTGTGTGTGTGTGTGTGTGTGTGTGTGTGTGTGTGTGTGTGTGTGTGTGTGTGTAAGTGTGTGTTGTCATTTCTTTTGAGTATCTTGCACGTCATAAACATATCTCCTTGGTTCTTCTCTCATCTAAGGTCCTCAGGCTTGGTTCCTTTAAGCTCTTTGAATAGCTCAGTTCCCATATCTCTAGGACTAGTTTTATTGCAAACCTCTAAACATTCTCAGATTACTCAACATACTTGGGCAGGTGTGGGCTCAGTGCTGGTGCTGCGTACTCTATGACAGGCTTGAAATATATTGTATACAGTGTCCTGAGTGTCCCTTCGTTAAGATCTCTGAAGGCGGTTCTAAAACTCTTTATTCTCTCACATGATGTAGTTTATATGCACCTCTAGGGATATGTTCGGTGTCATACTCACTCCAAGCTCCTTCTCCTTAGGCTGTATTGTAAGTTCTCAAATCTCAGATTGCACTCCGTCTGAAGTAATTTTCTCTCGGTTTGCATGATGTTGCATTTATTTGGGTTAAACTCCAGTAGCCACTTTCCTGGCTGTCTTTGCAATTTGTGCAAGTCTTCCTGTACACTATCTACATCCCTTCATCTACTCACCTCACTAGTTTTACGTCAGCAACAATGATACATGGGTTTCAATCCCATCTGGAAGGTCATTTATGTATAATATATATAAAGAACAGTAAGGGTCCTAGTACTGATCCTTAGGGACCCAACTGTTTACTCTTTACCATCCTGGGACGTCCTCCCTTACACTCTGGTTTCTGCCTCTTAAGTGTTCATTGATCGATTACAGCACTGTACTTTGAACCCCTGCTTGGCTCTCTGCTTAGTGTGTGTGTGTGTGTGTGTGTGTGTGTGTGTGTGTGTGTGTGTGTGTGTGTGTGTGTGTGTGTGTGTGTGTGTGTGTGTTTTAGGAACGCCTGGCAGCTAGGGTTCACTGAGGTATGTGGTGTACCTCACGTAGTGCTTTGGTTTTCTTGTGTGACTTGTGGTGAATTGTCCGCGTTCCTGGCGTGTTTGTACACACACACACACAAACACACACACAAACTCGTGACTCCCGGTCATCAACATGCTAGACAGACACACTATTTATACGCACTATTTATATCAATTGTCCTAGACGAGGGCACTAAGTATATATATATATATATATTATATATATATATATATAATATATATATATATTTTATATATTTTATATATATATTATATTATATATATATCCGTGACTAATTTCACTCCTGTGTATATGTTGAGACTTGAATTCCTTCTTCAGGTATTCGAGTGTTCTTGACTAGTGGTGAGCAGGTAACATACAGCCTTGATGACCCTCGTATAGTACATATATACTCAAAAGTTACTGAAATCTCTATATTGCGTATTACAGTATTCTTGACGAGGCTTGTACAAGTGAGGTGCAGCCTTAACCAGCCTTGCAAGAGCCATGCAGTGCCAGGAGGTCAATGAGGAGCACTCAGAAGGTATCACGAGGGGCAAAGCAGGTCAGATTCCTTGAATCAACACGTTCCCCCCCCCACCAGTCATAACATGGCACACCCCTCACCCATCATCTGTCAAACGTAACGAGAAAGAGGGGTGCCAGGAAGCAGTGAGTGCCTGGTAGGGTAGTGAAGGCAGCAGTCAGGTATGTAGTCATGTGGGCCACAATAACCCAGACTTTCTCTCCCTTGTCAGCATTTCTCACTTGTTTACATAAATAATTGATTCAGTATTTTGTTTTTGCTCGGGGCGGTAGGTGGAGCTGCGCCCCCTCCCCCTTCCCCTCCCCTCTCCATCTTCATCTTGTAATAATAATAGCAACAATGATAATAATAATAATAATAATAACAATGATAATAATAATAATAATAATAATAATAATAATAATAATAATAATAATAATAATAATAATAATAATAATAATAATAACAACAAAAACAACAACAATAGCTCATATACACTGATAGGGGACTTTTGAGGGGGTGTCTCCCAGTGTATATAAGCTTGAGAGTATAAACCCAAGTTTAGGTATTAACGTATTCACGACTGGTGGTGACCAGGCGACACAGCCTCAGTGACCCTTCACGACTGGTGGTGACCAGGCGACACAGCCTCAGTGACCCTTCATGACTGGTGGTGACCAGGCGACAGAGCCTCAGTGACCCTTCATGACTGGTGGTGACCAGGCGACACAGCCTCAGTGACCCTTCATGACTGGTGGTGACCAGGCGACACAGCCTCAGTGACCCTTCATGACTGGTGGTGACCAGGCGACACAGCCTCAGTGACCCTTCATGACTGGTGGTGACCAGGCAACACAGCCTCAGTGACCCTTCATGACTGGTGGTGACCGGCACAGTGACGAACCAGGCCTCAGTGACCCTTCATGACTGGTGGTGACCAGGCAACACACAGCCTCTTCATGACTGGTGGTGACCAGGTGACACACAGCCTCTTCATGACTGGTGGTGACCAGGTGACACAGCCTCAGTGACCCTCGTGTAGTGGACGGACTGGTTACCCAACCCACCAAGAGAGGCGCAAGACACATGTAGCGAGTCAGAACAAGCCAACCAAGCAAGAACTACGAGAACACTAATGTTGACAGTGTTACACTGGTAAACACTACGTTACATCCCAGATAGTGACCACCGATACTGTAACATCGTAAGTAACTATGTATATTGAATGTATGTTTGATAATTCAGTATATATGCCCCTCCATATGCTGTACTTCAAGAACGATGGATTGAACACATCGATTCCAGGCTAACGGACGGATTACCTCAAACTACTCCTCTTTGCCCACCGTTCTTCTCTGTATTGGATTGATGAAGCCAATGTGGGGCGAAACGTCTCCTCCTCAATAAAGATTCCCAAGTGTTTCACAAGTATTCGGTATGTTGAATACGTATTTGTGTTTGGTAATTAAATTACGCATATTCCCGTTGTGAATTTCATTACTAAGTTTTTGGAAAAAATCCAGCCCCTTAAATACGAACTTTGTGTATTCAGATTTTATTTATTTTATGTATTTTGTAAATTTTTTTTTGTAAATTATTAT